TCACTCCCGACCCACAGGGGAAACAGGGTGCAGGGACAGCACAGAGCCAGAGCGGTGCAGGGATCAGTGGAGGGGGAGGGGGGAATGGGAGGCACAGAGCCAGAGGGACGCGGGGTGCGGTGGAGGCACAGGGAATGGGACGCGGGAAACGGGAGGAGCAGAGGGATCGGGGTCTAGGGGCAGTGCAGGGAACGGGCAGCACAGAGCTGGGGGCAGGGATCGGAGGGGAGCAGGGTGCAAGGGCGGCGCAGAGCCAGAGAGTCGCAGGGAAGAGGGAGAACAGGAGGTCCGGAGTACAGGGGAGCAGAGTGCAGGGGAGCAGGGGTGGCGTGGGGAATGGGTGGCGCGGAGACAAAGCAGCACGGGGCGGGTGCAGTGAATCGAGTGGTTGGCCGGGAGCGGTCTCTCACCGGTGAGGGGGTTGGGGCCATGGCAGCACTGGAGCCAGAGGGGCAGGGCTTGGCTGCGCTGCAGCCAGCTCCCGGGGCCTCCCAGCTGGAGCCGAGCTGCTGCAGCCCTTTAGAATCAGCGGGACCATGTCACGCCAGCATCCTGGCTTCTGCCGCCATCCCGCCTCTGGCCCCGCCTCCTCGTGCTGGAGCTGCACACAGGCAGCCTGGCACTGAGAATCACTGTGCTTCCTCCTTCCCGGTGGCGCTCCACTCCTCTGCCTGGCCAGCGGATCAGATGGGGCCCTGCCAGCCGTAGTGCGGGCTTTGGCGAGCCTGTCACAACCGCCCACTGGGCCAGTCCGCCCCTGCATGCACCAGCTGATAAAATCTACTCGCTGCGGGCGAGTGCATTTGTCAAGCCCTGCCCATTAGGGTGGGACTTGGTCCTCCCGCGAGCCTGTCCACCAGGCCCCACGTTCAGCTCCACCTATGTCTCTGATCCCTTACTCCTGGTAGATCGGTTTTGGGCTCAGGTCCACGCGCCATATCCCTCTCGGCAGGGTAACACGGCCTAGTGGTCAGCATATATCAGCAAGTCCCCTTTGCTAGGGATAATACGGTCCAGGGGCCTAGTCCATAGGCAAGTCCCCTTAACTAGGGATAATACGGCCCAGGGGCCTAATCCACAGGCAAGTCCCCTTAACTAGGGGTAATATGGCCCATGGGTCTAGTCTATAGGAAAGTCCCTTTTGCTAGGGGCAATACGGCCCAGGGGCCTAGTCCACAGGCAAGTCCCCTTAACTACGGGTAATACGGCCCATGGGTCTAGTCTATAGGAAAGTCCCTTTTGCTAGGGGTAATACGGCCCAGGGACCTAGTCCACAGGCAAGTCCCCTTAACTACGGGTAATACGGCCCATGGGTCTAGTCTATAGGAAAGTCCCTTTTGCTAGGGGTAATACGGCCCAGGGACCTAGTCCACAGGCAAGTCCCCTTAACTACGGGTAATACGGCCCATGGGTCTAGTCTATAGGAAAGTCCCTTTTGCTAGGGGTAATACGGCCCAGGGACCTAGTCCACAGGCAAGTCCCCTTAACTACGGGTAATACGGCCCATGGGTCTAGTCTATAGGAAAGTCCCTTTTGCTAGGGGTAATACGGCCCAGGGACCTAGTCCACAGGCAAGTCCCCTTAACTACGGGTAATACGGCCCATGGGTCTAGTCTATAGGAAAGTCCCTTTTGCTAGGGGTAATACGGCCCAGGGACCTAGTCCACAGGCAAGTCCCCTTAACTACGGGTAATACGGCCCATGGGTCTAGTCTATAGGAAAGTCCCTTTTGCTAGGGGTAATACGGCCCAGGGACCTAGTCCACAGGCAAGTCCCCTTAACTACGGGTAATACGGCCCATGGGTCTAGTCTATAGGAAAGTCCCTTTTGCTAGGGGTAATACGGCCCAGGGACCTAGTCCACAGGCAAGTCCCCTTAACTACGGGTAATACGGCCCATGGGTCTAGTCTATAGGAAAGTCCCTTTTGCTAGGGGTAATACGGCCCAGGGACCTAGTCCACAGGCAAGTCCCCTTAACTACGGGTAATACGGCCCATGGGTCTAGTCTATAGGAAAGTCCCTTTTGCTAGGGGTAATACGGCCCAGGGGCCTAGTCCACAGGCAAGTCCCCTTAACTAGGGATAATACGGCCCAGAGGCCTGGCCCAGAAGCCTATAAGAAAACTTCCCTCCACACAGGCTAGCTACGGGGGAGGTAGGAGGACCTGGGTCCTCCTGTTCCATTGGGTCCCAGCCCAGGGCCCTGTTGGCGGTGGCATGATCCAATGCCTGCCCAGTGGGGAATCCTGCCACAATACGCTGAGCTCCTGGAGAGCAATTCCCCACCCTGGGCTACTTCCTACCGTTCCAGGTCTGTGGCTCTTCCCCATCGTGTTCTGCTGGGGTTGTGGCTCCTAGGGTCGCCTCTCTTACCCTGGCGGTGGCTGTGGGCTCTGGCTAGGGTGGTAATCGGTGGTCAGCTGTGGCCAGGGGTGCCGCCACCGGTGGTTGGGCTGGTTGGTGCTGTGGCGGCAGGGCTTGGTTCTGTCAAGAGTTCTTTCCTTTTCCATAGTCCACCCAGGCTGGGCTGCATTGGAGGCTTTTATTCTGTCTTTACTGGGAGCATGTCCAGCAGAGCTGTGGGGGTGGGGCTCTTTCAGCCAGCTGGGCAAAAGCAACTCTCTCAGCTTCGGAGCATCGTTGATACTCCCCATCACAAGTAGGCTTTGCTCTTAAGAACAAGCTGGCAAGGTGCCTCTCGTAGCTGCCAGTTGGCATCAATGAGCGGCTTATGACACTCCGATTGAGGCTCACCAAAAACCAACCGGTGACTATTGTGAGCGCCTGTGTGCCGCAATGGACACCGATGAGGATGTAAAGGAAGATTTCTACTCTCAGATGGAAACCATTTTATCAGAAACCCCTAAGGAAGATCAGATCATTCTTCTGGGGGATTTCAGTACACGCCTTGGACAAGACTCAGACCTGTGGAAAGGAACAATCAAGAAAGAAGGAGTTGGCAAAAGCAGCTCAGATGGAATCCTGCTCCTGACCGAGTGTGCTGAACATGAACTTAGCATCACGGAGAACCTTTTTCGACAAAAGAACAAGTTCAAAACATCTTGGAGACACCCATGTTCCAAGCACTGGCATCATCTCAGCTAGGTTCTAGTTCATGCTCAAGATTGCAGTGACGTATTTCTCATGAGAGCAGTGACAAGTGCTGATGACTGCTGGACTGATCATCTCCTCAGTCAATCCACAACAAACATTAAGATGGCCCCCAATGGAGGCTGCAGAAGAAGCAGGTCAGCCACAAGCTGAAGGTTCAAGATCTGAAAGACCCCAGTAAGTATGACCACTTCCAAATATGTCTTAGAAGAAAAGTTTCCATCAGAGTTTCTGGAAGAAATTGAGGCACACTGGAGCCAGCTGAAAGTGGCAATCATCAATCCCTGTGGGGAAACCACTGGCTACCCCCACCAGACAGCATCAGGACTGATTTGATGAGGACAATGTTGAAATCAAGCAGCTCGTCGATGAGAAGAGAATGGCATTTAGCGCTTGGCGGAATTTATAGAAATTGCAGTGCAAAGAGAGAAGCCCATGGTAAGGTGAAGGTAGAAGTCCAATGTAAAACCAAGAACTCAAGAACAAATGGTGGACTGAGAAAGTGCAAGAACTCCAACATTCTGTGAATACCCATAATACATGTGGTTTCTTTAGTGCTATTAAGGCTGTTTATGGGCCAGCTTGTCTTGGCATGAACTCCCTTCACTCAAAGGATGGAACCGCATTTTTGAAGGAAAATGAAGCCATTAATTTTCACTGGAGAGAACATTTTGAAGATCTTCGTAATCGTAATTCCTTGGTTGCAGATGAAGTTCTTGAGCAAATCCCCCCAACGACCTTCTAGGGATGAGCTTGGAGACCCTCCCGATTTGTATGAGGTGTACAGTGCCATCAAGCAGATGAAGAACAACAAGGCGGCAGGTCCCGATGGGATCCCCACTGAAATCTTGACAGTGGACCAGAGTTAATTTGGCAGCTCAGCCTGCTTATCCTTAAAATCTGGAGAAAGGAGGAGATCCCCAGTGAAACGAGGAATACCTTGATTGTTTAACAAAGGGGATAAAGCGGACTGGAAACTATCGTGGGATCTCTCTCTTTGCAGTTGCAGGCAAAGTTCTGGCCCGGGTCCTTGCAACCTGTCTTCTTCCACTATCAGAAGAAATTTTACCAGAGTCACAGAGTAGCTTCACAGAACAATTCCATCTAGTGCAGTGTTTCCCAATTTTATTTGGCCGAGGAACCCTTTTCAGCTTTTCAGAATTTCAAGGAACCCCTAAGCTTATCAAGCAAAAAAAAAGGTGGGGGGTGGGGGAGGAGAGAAGGACCCACCAATTCATGAAAATCACATTCCTTCCCCAAGCCCCCCCCCCATATCCCTTCTGTGAGGCCTCATCCACTCTGTTCCCCTCCTCTCCATTGTCTTTATTAAACTTCATCCTGTTTACCTCAGACCATTCGTTCAATTTGTCCAGATCATTTTGAATTATGACCCTATCCTCCAGAGCAGTCACAACCCCTCCCAGAGCAGTCGCAACCCCTCCCATGAAAATGATTATGACTTATCAGTGCTTAATTTTTGGCACCTCTAGGCTTGGCAGTTCATAGCCCTGGCACCTCTGAGCTTGCTTCGTAAGTAATGAAAGTAAAAAAATTGAGCCATTGCACCTGCTTGTTTGAGTCTTGGAACCTTTTTCATTCCTGATAAAGCAGTGCGTGATATCTTTATTTTATGCAAGCAGAGTAAATCAAAGATGTACTTGGTGCTCTTGAAGAGCCAGTTTTACAAAACTGAAAGCAATTATAAGCCAGGGCAACTGAGAAAGAGAACGTAGACAGAAAAATGTGAATGATAATTGGAAACCATTTCAGACTATTTTACTAGATGTCTAAATATTCAAAGTCAAGGAGGGCTATGTGGGTTTAAAAAATATGACGAAGTGGGATTTTATTCATCTTATGATGTTGCATGTGAGTTCTGTTGTCCTATAGTAATCGTGTGTCCGTGCCTCAGTTTCCCAGAGCACTGCACCAGTACCTAGATGGTGATCGGAATTTCAGGTATGACTCCCACTGAGGGAGGCTGCCCCAAGCACATGTATGGAATTGCTGATGCCTTGAGCCCATGAAGGGGTGCGACCAGGTGATATTTTTTGCCTGGGAAGCAGAACAAAGGATGGAGGAGGGGCTGGCTGGGGTTGGGATCAGGCTGCGGGAAATGGGTCAGTCTGGCTGGCTTGGGGTATCGGGACGGGGGTCAGGAGTCTTGGCTCTGGGGCCCCCCTCTTCCCAAGATGGATTGTACTGCTTGGTCCTGGTTAGTGCTATGAAGTCTGTTCTATGCTGTGTCCTTGGGGACTAATAAACCTTCTGGCCAAGAGTCACATGTGGCTGCGGATGGGGGTGCAGGGCCTGGCGACTCCCCACTCCTCGGTGACACTGGGTACATTCATATAAAAACCCAACTTGGCTTAGAGGGAAAGTGAAAACAGCTCGTGTGCGCACAGAAGTGGAAGACAAGGGACGTTGGTAGAATGGGAAGCTCTGAATTGTGTCCTTTTGCTTCCCTTCTCAACTTCTCTCTTGAAGCAACTCGTCCACAGAAACTCAAACCCTTTCTGTGACATCCACCCATCTGGTTTTGTGTTTTCCAACCTTTCCCCTCTGTTTCTAATGATAGACGCACATATAGGAGCTGCTCCAGGGCTGGAGCACTCATGGGAAAAAATGAATGGATTCTTTGTACCCTCCAGCAGCCAAGCTCCTCTCCTCCTCCCCCGATACCTCCTGCTCACCCATGGCCCTGCCAGTTATACTCCCTCTCTCTCCCAGCGCCTCCCACAGGTAGCGGAGCAGCTGTTCCGGGGTGTGCAGGGAGTGCTGGGATGAAGGAGAAGGAGGGGAAAGGGAAGGGCCATGCGTAAGGGAGGGGGTGGAATAGAGTGTGAAGCTAGAACCTGTGACCGTAACACCCAGTTTCCTATATCTTCTGCCAATCTCCTTTTACATGCCCTGATCATCCAAGCCAGTATTCCCTCACCTTTTCTGTAATTGGTGCCACTCTAATACTTCCCTTCATTCTTTTGTTCCCAACATGCTTATAGCTCTAAGCATGAGTCTTAGCACGAGCAGGAATAGGATCTGCTCCTGTCTCTTCCTTGGTGCCCAGTATTCAAAGCATGCAGAATTGTAATCCTATTTATCTTGAGGTTGATAGGAGAATGCCTGTTGCGGATCACACCACTCACTTCTCTCCATCCTGTTCCATCCGTAGCTGAGTCCTTTAGTTCACCAGTGTCCTGCTGTGTTGCTCCTAGGTGCTGAACTGCTGTACTTTTGGTAGTGCCTGGCCCCCCAGGCTCAGTCTCTTTGCCTTCCTGCATGGTGTGATTTGAATCTGTGGTTTGATTTGATTGATTACATGCCATTTCTTTCAAGTATCCATCTTCTTTCACTTCGTCTTTGCTGTCCCCGTGAGCACTGTGGCAGCTGCGAAAGCATGCACCAGGCTGTCACTCCTTGTATGTTTTCTGTAACAACCAATAGTTGGGTAGCATTTTACAGACTAACAAAGCCTGTAGATTAGTAATAGAGATGTAGCCGTGTTAGTCTGGTCTTGCTGAAAGAAAAGACAGGACTATGCAGCACTTTAAAGACTAACAAGATGGTTTATTAGGTGATGAGATTTCGTGGGCCAGACCCAGTTCCTCAGATCAAATTGTGGAAGAAAATTGGCACAACCATATATACCAAAGAGATACAATCAAAAAAAGTGAACACATAAAAAATAGACAAATCAGATTTTAGAACAGAGGTTTGCGTTCATACATGCTTTGGGGTTGGGTCATCACATCAGCTGGGCAAAATACGTCTGCCATATCATAAGCACACCGCATACCCACAGAGTTACACATCGAACCTTCAGGAGAATACAGTCTCTCTTGTTCTTTTAGTCTCTTAAGCTGGAGGTCAAGTCTAGCATTTTCCTCCTTGGCTAGGGCCATCTTCTCTGCATGCTCTGCCTTTCTCTCTGCATGTTCTGCTTTTCTCATCTCAAGTTCCCGATCCAGCTCCTGCTTTCTCTTAGCAATTTCTTCATCTGCCTTCCGCCTTCTTTCAGCAGCCTCCTTGGCTCGCTTCTGCTCCTTTTCATCCACATCTCTGGTTAATAACAGCACTACCAGATCTAGTTTAGAGGCTCTTTTCCTAAAGGCCATGCCTCTCCCCAAGCACAAATCCTTCAGAGCACTTTTGCTCAGACTCTCATATAATTCCGGGATCATCGCAGCGGCTCTTTAATCAACCAAACTCTCAACACCAAAAATCAAATTTAGACAGCGTGGGGTCCTGATCCCAAAGCTCAATTGACCAAGATCTGTGGATCCTGCCGACTACGCCACTGTGACGGACC